GAATTACCCCCATTAATTCCCTCTATTTTTCCCCAGGGAAGCCCAGCCGGTGTTCCAGGTTGATCCCCATTAATTCCCAATATTTTTCCCCAGGGAAGCCCAGCCGGTGATTTGGGATTACCCCCGTTAATTCCCCCTATTTTTCCCCAGGGTAACCCAGGTGTGTTCTAGGATGATCCCCACTAATTCCCGCTGTTTTCCCGCAGGGAAGGCCAGCGGTGATTTGGGATTACCCCCACTAATTCCCGCTGTTTTTCCCTAGGAAAGGCCAGCCGCTGGTTCGGGGTATCCCAATCCAAGGCAGCCAAGACGAGCGTGAACATCCTGCAGCAGGAGGAGCTGATTGCCCAGAAAAAGCGGGAGATCGAGGCCCGGCTGGAGCAGCAGGCGAGGCAGAATTCCCTGAGCATCCCACAGCTCCCCCTGCTCGGAGAGTACGTGGAGCCCCCACAATTCCAGGGGGGATGTTTGGGATGGGGGGAGGGAAAGGAGGAGCTCTGCACCTGGAGGGAATTCCCGGGAATGTTGTAGCGAGGGGTGGGATTGGGGCGGTCACGGGGGCATCGGGGTTTTCAGGCTTTAATTTAATTTAATTTAATAGAATTAAAATAATTCTAATTCTAATAAATTAATTTAATTTAATAGAATTAAAATAATTCTAATTCTAATAAATTCCTTCTAATTCTAATAAATTAATTTAATTTAATAGAATTAAAATAATTCTAATTCTAATAAATTAATTCTAATTCTAATAAATTCATTCGAATTCTAATAAATTAATTTAATTTAATAGAATTAAAATAATTCTAATTCTAATAAATTAATTCTAATTCTAATAAATTAATTCTAATTCTAATAAATTAATTCTAATTCTAATAAATTAATTCTAATTCTAATAAATTAATTCTAATTCTAATAAATTAATTTAACTTAATAGAAATGTTTCTCAGAAACTGATTTATATATATAAATACATTTATATATAATTTACAACCTTATGTGTTATGATTTATAGTCATCGATTTATATATATATATATAAATACATCTATATATAACTTATAACCTTATGTGTTATGATTTATACTCATCGTGTTCTATATATAATTAATTAACACACCATTATATTTATGATAGAACCTATATGTTAATATATTCATTACAGTAATTATGTGTGATTTATTAATCTGTTGATATATTTATGATATATTTAGCTTAGAAACTATATATATGATGAATTAACATTAATATATTAGTGACAGAAATTATATATTGACATACTCTAGAATTATATATAGATTTATTAATATATTGATATATTATGGTTTATCTATATAGAAATTATATATGATATGTATTTATATATTTATCAGAAGTTATGGATATGACATTAATGTATTTATTAATGCATTGGTATATTATATATTATGAAATGTCTGTGATAGGAATTATATATGGATATATTTATCATAGGGAATATGTATATGATTTATCAATGTATTGATATATATCTATGGTAGGAATTATATATAAATATATTTATCATAGGGATTATGCATATGATTTATCAATGTATTCATAAATACATTGATAAATCATATTGATAAATACAATCATATTGATAAATCATATTGATAAATACAATAAATTATATATGGATATATTTATCATAGGGATTATTTATATGAATTATTAATGTATTGATATAATTATGATACATTTGTGACAGAAGTTATATATGGATATATTTATGACCTGATATCCCCTGGGTCTGGGGAGCGTCCTGAGCTCCATCTCTCCCTTTTATTAATAATTCCTGGGGGTTTTATCCTGTTTTCTGCCCCC